CGTCTCCTCGAGTCCGCCCCCGAGCTGCCGAGGTCTACAAGCCCTTCCCGCGGGCCGAGACTTGGTGGGTCATGCGGCGCGGCGACGCCGAGCTTTTCAGGTCAGGGGCAACGGTAGGGGGGGGGATAGGTTCAGGGGGGAACGCATCGACCCCCAATCGCCCACTGATCGCCGATAGGGGTCTGACAGCCCCACCTCGCCCAGAAACGTGCGGGCTCGTCGTCGTGGGCCTGTTGCCGATCAACAGTCAAAGCGCACAGTAGGCTGAGCAACTGTCCAAGGCTACCCTGGCATCTTTGCCCCTGCGGCCATCCTTGGCAACTTTCGCTGCCCAGGCCCGTTCGAAAAACATCAACGTGGCATTCCAATGCCCTTGCATCCTTACTCCGCACCCGCATGTTGCGCTTTGACCGCATCGGCGACATATCGCCGATTCCAGGTCAGCGCTTCCCCCCCATGAGCCAGCTCCCCCCTGTCGTTGCCCCTTCTTCAGGCAGCACGAGGAGCAGGCCAGGATGAGGTTTCGTGCCCAGTGCTCGGAGGAAGAGGCCTGGTACTACCCGCTCCGTGCTCGGATGGAGCCCGGAGGGGCTCGATGCACACACGTCGTTTGGTCTGCCAGGGGGCCAGCCAAACGACGTGTTCGTTTGGTGATCGTTTTCGTATTCAGTGTTTTGCCGATCGGCGTGGGCCCCCGCACCCCTTCCCCCCGCCCCCATGGAGAGTAGATCTTAGCTGTTTTTTGGCGCCTGTTTCGACCGGGTGGAGTCTCTCCCCCCCTCCCAGAGGACGCACTCTTGCAAACAGTCGCACTAAGCAGAGGTCCGGAGCCAGAACCCCCCCCTCTCCCCTCCTTCCGCCCAATGTCGAAACGCCGAATAAAAAAACGCTCGCCAGGGGTCCACGTCGTTCGGTCGGCCAGGGGGCACCTCGGGGACGCAGCCTAGTGGACCTCGGGGCCACAGCCTAGTGGACCTGCCAGTTCCTCTTGCAGAGGGCAATCGTGTACTTATTGGCCTTGCGCCATCTTCCCCTCCCTCTTGCCCTTCTGTCTTCTCCAGCAAGAAAAGATTGGTCGGCCAGGTCGCCGAAGAGTTCGGCAAAGGAACTCTGTGTATAGACCCTTCGATGCGGGCGTTGATGAGTTTTTTCACGCTGTGCAGTCCTGCCCAGTTTCGGGCCCCGGGACCATCACAGATCGATCCGGCTTGAAAAAGGCCGCACAAAGATTAGGTCCAGGGCTCCAGTCGTGATGTGTCGCGATGTTGTCTGTTTTCTCGCAACGTCGGATATCTTGGGCCGTTCTAGCATGCCCACAGGTTGGGCAGCTGAGGCGTCGATACACAGGGGCCTTGGCCGACCAAGCGACGCGGTGTGTATATCGGGCCCCTCACAGGAGCGTTGGGGCCGGGAGGCAGCGCCAGTGAAGGACGAGTGCGTCATGTTTACGGACTGGGCGGACGGGAATCAGTCGTGCAAGGTCTGGGCCGACATGGTCAAGCTGTGCCCAAACAACTGCAGAGTCACGCGTGCGATGAGCCACACCGAGTCCGCCACGAAGCATCCAGTAATCTTCCACAGCATCTCCATTGCAGCCTTCCGGGAGCTCATGGCGTCCCCCTTCTGGTTTAGCCGCAAGGTCGACGACGGCGCGATCACGACCCCGAACAGGTTCGCGGCGCTGCTGGAGGATTTCACGGCCAACCATACCGATCCCAGCGTGGGGCATCCAGGGGGCCAGAAACATCAGCTTGTAGTTCGAAATATCAAGAATGAGGACGCTCGATCGACTTGCGAGATTTACATTAGACGCGACGCTGCAAGAGCAGTTCGGGAGGGGCACCCTTGTGCCAGAGACCGATTTCGGATGTTCACTTTGTTGCTTATGTGAAGGTGGCCTCCGAGGGCTCCAGATGTGAACCCAGCCGTTCATGCTTCTGAGTTTCTCATGGAGCCCAGTGACCGCGCAAAGCAGAAAGGAATAAGTCCCGTTTCAAATCGGCCCCTTGACAACTGAAAGAGCGGTTTGTGCCGCTACTGGCAAGCCCACCAAGCCTCTGAATGTGCGACCGCCATCATCACCATCATTGCCGCGATCGTCATCGTCGTCGCCACCTCGCCATCATCATGACCATCACCACCACCACCATCGTCAGAATCACCGCCATCACCACCACCATCAAGATCACCATCATCACCATCATGATCAACATTCTCCTCAAGGGGTGCGGACGGCAGGAGATTGGAGGAGCGCGAGGAGGGGGGGGGAAGGAGGAGCAGCAGGAGGGCCAGGGAGAGGAGGATGAGGGGGGTGAGGAAGAGGATGGATCGGGGGAAGCTGGGGGCAGGGACAGGAGGAGGAGGAGGAGGAGGAGGGACAGGACGACCACGACGGAGGAGGAGGAGAAGGAGAAGGAAAAAGAGGAGGAGGAGGAGGAGGAGGAGGAGGAGGAGGAGGAGAGGGCGACGGGGGATGACGACGACCAGAAATGACGACGCACAATGATGACGACGAAAGACACCCCAACTACCGTTTCCCCTGCTTTTCCTCCTCCTCCTACCCTTCCTCCTTCCCCCAAGAAGCTCAAAAGAGGCGCCACGAGGCTCTTCCGAATCCCCAAGAGGCTTCCCAGAGGCTCCAAGAAACTCTACAACGGCCCCAACTGATTTTTCGAGAACCCCAAGGGGCTCTTCGGAGATTTCCAGAAGCTTGAAAGAGAGCCCAAGAGGCTCTCGGAAGCCCCCGGAAGCTTTCGGAGGCCCCACGAAGCTGCCCACCAGCCCCAAGACGGTGTTCACAGGCCCCAAGAAGCTCTTACAGAGGCCCCATGAGCCATACAGAGGCCCCAAGAAGTTTTACACAGGCCCCAAGAAATACAGAGAGCCCAAGAAACTTTACAGAGGCCCCTAGAAGCCACACAAAGGCCCCAAGAAGGCCGACAGAGGCCCCAAGAAATTTTACAGATGTCCCAAGAAGCAAGAAGCCCCCACAGAAGTCCCAAGGGGGTCCACGGAGGCCCCAAGAAACTCTGCGGAGATCCCAAGAGTCCCAAGAGGCTCGTCGTGCGTGTTTTGTCGGCTTTCGGAGGGTCTGGGTCTCTGCCTGCAGGCTAATCCCGCTTTCTGCCGCACACGATGATTTGAAGGCACCGGAGCACCCCTGGCCGTACAAACGCGCACCCGGCCACACAAACACCCGACGGGCCAATTGAACACCTTCTCTCGGTGGTCCCCCGTGCACCCCCGGTTCCCAGTCCCCAGGGAAGGGGGGGGGGGACTTCCCCCCCATGTTTCTCGGAAGGGGGGGGTCCAGCCAAGCAGCGGTAGATCGCGCTCCCTCGGGCATCTCCTGGAGCGCGCCCCGGTCAGCAGCTATTTTTCCTTCGGGCAGGCCCAGCATTAGGATAGTCGTTCCAGAGCGCTGCAGAAAGCCTTCATCCTCCAGACCCGCTGGTTCGCAGAGATTCCCGATTTATCCCCATTCGAATGTATTCTGATCCTGCCTCCATCTCAGTTCTCCGCCTCGCCCCCTTCTCTCCCTCCTGGCTCTTGAGCCCCAACGTGGCCTGCCCGCGCAAGGCCAATTGGAGCGTCCGCACCGCCACGCTGAAGTCCCCCTGATGTCAGATAATTACCGAAGTTCTCCGCACGCGATGGAAGCTCGCTCTCCTCCCCAGCCCCGCCGCTCTACCCATCCTCCTCTCCCCGCTCGGGTCGGGCGAAGAGGGGGGATCGGGGGGGTACGAAATCTGATGCGTGCAGCTGGTTTCGGCTCTGCGGCTGGTCACCTTCCCCGATACATTGGCGACGGGAGCAGCTGATTGACTACGCACCCCTCTGTTGTCCCCCATGTCTTCCGTTCCGATCTGTCCGTAAGGTCAGGCATACGTCTCATTGAAAGAACTCCCCACGCCGGGTTGGCCAGCGGGGGGGGCCAGGAGGGTTGGCCGAGAGGGTTTGCCAGAGCGTTGGCCGGTATGATTATTCGATGGCTCGTTCTTCCCACGACATACAGCAAGTTCGATCATCTCGCCCCAGGTACGAGGAGAACACCGAGATCTCGAGTGAGGAGTTGGTGGATTTGCCGGACCAGTGAGGGCCCAGCGCGCAGCGATCGAGGCAGTGTTCTTTGCGGAGAGGTGCGGTCGCCTGCCTCGTCCTCCCCCCCTCGGTCCTCGCCGTTGTCCTCCTCCGCCTTCTTCATCCTCCTCCTCCCTCGTCTTTCCTCCGCCTCCTTCCTCTCTCCCATCCTCCCCCCCCTTTCGGGCACGGGAGGAGAAAGGGAAGGGGGGTTGCGTCAGAGGTACGACCGCCGACACGCCCAATTTGGCTGAACGTCCGTGAGGCTAGGAAGGTTCCGGTCGGGATCTTTTGGATAGCGTTTCGCTCCGCCGGTTCTGGCCCACCACGCCTCGGAACGACACGCTATCCACCTCCCAGCCCCCAGGCGTCAGCAATGTCCCGAGCCTTTCCCAGCCTTCCGCACCGCGGAGCGGAACGACACGCTCTCCGCTCGCAGGGCACTGCGTGTCGCTGGGGCCGCCGCCGAGAAACGCTAAGAGACAGTTCCCGACCGTACGTGTGCGGTGGCTCGGTGCCTGGCGCCTCTCTTCCCTCCTTCTTCTCTTTCTCGCACCGCGCGCTGCCGCTCCCGGGCGCTGAGCGCTGGAGACCGCCAGGGACGCCGCGCGACCGGTTGCCGAGCGACAGAGGCGTAGGCTGGCGGTGATGGGTGCCAGGTGAGGGCTGCCCTGTCGACGCCCTCATCTCGCTGCCCTCTGCCCCGCCCAGCGCAGGGTTCAGGAGAGGCTGGGCCACGCTGGCGCTGCTCTCGCTGCCGTGCCAGCGGCCGCTGCCCTCCGGAAGTCGACCACTCTGGTGCGTGAACCGCTGCTTGTGCACCACCCCATCGTGCGTCGATCATTGTTAGTTGTGCGCGCGGGCCCCGTGGCTTTTGAGCGCAACGGCGCGCGTACCCCGACTGCCAAGGTAGTTCGCTGCGTCGTGCCCGTAGTAGAAGGTATGGTGGGATAGGCGTCGATCGCATTGCCCTGAGAGCGTCCATCGGCCTGCATGTGGCCGAAGCTTGGCGTGGAGCCTTGTGGGAGGTCGCGATCACGGAAGGCATTGGAAGCCACGGCACGCCTCCGCCGCTGCGTGATTGCGAAAGTTGGGCACAGATCATTTCCCATGTCGTCATTGCGCCACCGCGAGGTTTCGGCGCCGCGCGCCAGAACACCATCAGGTTGATGCTGCAGGTGGTGTTGCAGAACGGACCAGTGTCATACGCGTGGAACGGAAGGCACTGGCGGCAATGATTGGTAGGGCATGTGCGCTCAGACAGGGGACTCGGCAAGGTATTTCGCAGCCTGCCCCCCGTGAGCCTTGAGAATGCATAAGCCTTGCGTGATGTGGGTGCGTAAGAAAACACGGATTTGAAGCTTCACCACCCCCTCTGCCTTTCACCCGCTTCAGCATTCCGATGCCAGGGGCCTGGGGCAGCCTCCAGGGACAACGCAAGGCGTGCGAGTGAAGTGCCTCTGTGCCAGCCCCCTGGCCGCCCGCTGCCGTTGCCCGCGGTCAATTGTTTTGCCGCCTAGAGGAGGGTCGACGAGGATGTCCAGTGGTTGAGTTGGCCAGCCTCATCGAAAAAAGCAGGTCCCATCGCTGGGTACCCTGCTCGCCGCGCGCTGATCGTTGGTTCCGATCGTCCTCCGGTGACCGCGCGAAGGGAAATTCAATCGGCCGTCAGGCCGACAGCACGTTCCTTGCCACGCCCTGGTCGAGAGAGGCGTTCGGGATCGTCGGGGATCCACCCTTCCTGGACTAGCAGCGCTGCAAAGCGGATAGTGCACCCTCACGGTGGAAGTTGTCCTGGAGTTGCCCGTCGGTTTGCGTGGCTTTGTGGGCCTAGAATATCACCCCGAAGGAGTGGCGACAAGTTCTTCTTTGGCTCGGGACTGCTGCAGAGTATGATCGGCACAGCCTTTCAACGCGCTGCCGCTGGGCGCTTCTTTATGATGGAGGACCCTCGTAACCATGGGCTCTCTCAAATTCCACTCGCGTGGGGCTTGCCAGCAGTGCGTGAGATCGTCGGTTTTGACGGCAAGGGTCAGTTCAGGCCCTCGCCGATGTTCCAGGTCGATCCGTGCATTTGCGGCGCTTTGCCTCGGAAGCCACCGTCCTCGCCCACGGTTAATGCGGAGTCCGCTTGTGGCCGCAGTACATTTTTTTCGAGGCATGCGCAACCATCGTTCTTATAGAGGTGTTGCAGGGGACATTGAGGATTGTTGGCAACGTTCGCCTCAGTGGCCCAACAGTACCCCGCTGGGTTGTGTCGACGCATGGCGTCTGCTATGGCGACTGGACTGCGCAGACCTTGGCTCAGCAGCATTCCTGTCTCCAGCTATGTCAGATGCGATTTCTACCTCCTGGGCTCGACCCATCCATGGGCAGCGCCAGTGCAAGCAGTTCGTTCCAGGTGCCGCCTATTGAGAGGGTTATGGTCGCATCCCACCACAAGTACGACCCGCGGCCCCTGTCGTCGGTATCGTTTAACCAATCCCCAACCCCATCCCCATCCTTTTCGAGAGCCCCACCAAACCAAACTACCACCCCAGTTGGGGATACACCCCTCGAAACCCGAAGGATACGGCCTATCTCCCCATCTAGGGGGGATAAATCGGCCAGTGGGGCCCAGGCCACGCCGCTGGGGATGGGGATCGGTTAGCTGATACTCATATCGGCGCACTAGGAAAAGGCGAGGGCGAGAAGGGTAGGAGCAGTGGGAGAAGTGGGGCAAGAGGACACGGAAAGTCCGAGCTGATGGTCGGTCAAGCCAAACGAGCGGAGGGACGAAGTACCAAATCTCACTTCGAGCCGGGCCAGGTTCGAGCCGGGCGCGCGGCAGCTCTCGTTCTGTTTCAAGGCTGTTTCGCAGCGCGCGGTGCCCCCGACGCCCTCTGACATGCCGACCCCCGATCTCAAAATTGCATGCAAGTGGCGAGTGGTGGAGCGCAGATCGCCGCTGTTGAGGGGGTGCTATCGGTCGCCTCGCAGGAAGCGGCATCGCCGCGCGCAGCCCCGACGTCAGAGCGCTCCAACCGCGGGCCAGGGCACGGCATATTTCTAAGCGCGGCCGCAGTGGCAGTCAGCGGGACATTGCCGCTCAGCCTGCAGCACGTACATGAGCAACGCGATGGGCACACCGAGATCGACGAGTTGATCCAGGAGCTGCGGCAGCGCGCAGGCGGCACAAGCACCATCCCCTTGTCTGCGCTCTCAGAGGCCCGGTGCTCTGCATTACGATCGACCACGGCACCCACTGCAGATGTTCAATGGTATGTTTGTCAGACTACGCATGGCCGCAGTGGAGACAGTTCAGAGTGCCACCATCTCCTCAGGGGCGGAATTTAGGGAGCAGACTGCATCGGGTCTTCATCGTCGTCGTGCACTCAGCGGCCCTGGCGATGCTCGCGGCGCAGTTGACGAACAATTTTGATCGCGGCCCCGACCCATGCTGCATCGATGCTCGCGCAAAGACGAGCACCTCCAAAGCCGATACACTTTCCACTGAGAAAGCGGCTCGCAACAAGAATGGCGGCCGCAGTCCTTTGGCTCGAACCACCAAAATATCCGAGCGCTGCTCCGCAACGGCAGCGGGCGCAACGATATCATTTTTTCACATTGGCCCTGGAGACTGTGGAAAGTTCCAGCGAATGGACGCGGATGACGTTCTGGTGGGTCATCACGCGTCAAGCGGCAAGTCGTATTTCCAGACCGGGGATGATTTTCTATTTGAGCAGATCCGCCGCAAGTTGTAAACCAGTGCGCGCACAGCCAGCACGTTCGTCAACGAGTAGCACGGTGGGTTATCCGTTCATTGAAAGTTTGATCTGCGAGAAAAGCCCGCACAAACCAACAATCTCAATATCGAATGGGCCATGCAGAACGATACCGTTGTTGGCCTCGGCCGCCAGTGTATTGAGGCGTCCATCCAGCGCTGTACAGTTCAGCGGTCCTTGGCACATCCCGTGGAGCGGGCGGTGCGCCTTTCAGGCAGTGGCACAGCACCGTCACACAGCCTCGTCCTCGTGGAACACGCGTGCTGCAGTCCACCATCCGCTGGATGCCTTCACACCCGTCTGATCTCGTATTTCTTCAGACCCGCGCACTTGGCGCAATGATGGCAAGCCAAACAATGAATGATGTAAGCAGGAGCTGAAAGACCTCCATACGTTTCGTCGAACTGTTTGAATATTTGTTTGTGCTATCGGCACTATCGCGTTCAACCTCGCCTTCGCCGACTCCCACCCGAACAACACGCTCGGGATCGGTTGTGAGTTTTCGGTCGTAGGACAAGATGTAACAATGAAAATCCAGGTGCGTGTTGCGCCGATTAGTTACGAATACGACGAAGAGGATGAGAAGGAGTATTAGCGGCAAGGCGGGGGGGATCCAGGACATTGGGCATGAAGAGGAAGAAAGGAGGAAGTGTGCGAAAGGAGGGGAGCAGGGGGAAGAACAAGACGAGGCGGAGGAATTGTTCGAATTGGCACTCGTAATCCGCGCTGGGTCACGGCCGCCTTTCTGACTGGGCACGCTCCTGGCAGCTCCCGGCCCCGCAGCGCTGGGCAGGAGCATCTCCCTTCTAAAAAAACAGGGCCCACTCCCCCCCTGGCCCCCCCCCTTCTCCTCCTCATCCTCCTCCTCCTTCGCTTCCTCTCTCTTTCTCCTCTTCCTCCTCATCCGCCTCCTACTCCTACTCCTCCTCCTCCTCCTTCTCCTCATATCCTCCTCCTCCTTCTCCTCATATCCTCCTTGTCGTCCTCCTCCTCCTCCTGCTCCTCCTCCTCCTCCTCCTCCTCCTACTTGTTTCTTCTCATCCTCCTCCGACTCGCTTCGCTCGGCGCCTCCGACCGAAGTTCGGGAGCAGGAGGAGCGGAAGGAGTGGGAGGAGGAGGAGGAGGACAACGACGACGACGGCGACGACCCGCCCAGACGGCCCTCGAGCGCACCAAGAACTCGCGACGGTCGTTTGTCCAATGTGTGTGATTGTTGGAACCCTGTTCGGGCCCTGGAACACCAGCACGATCCGAGGTGAACACATTGCTCTCGGGACTGGCTCGGAAGATCCGGGGGCCCACGACACGAATGTCTTTAATGTTGTTGGGCTCCCTCATCATCAACATCCCGCATGTGTCTTTCTCCCGCCCCGTTCTCCTCTCACTCCTTGTCCCTCTCGTTTGATTTGGTATGCAGGTCGTCTTCGTTTGGCTTCTGGGTTTGATTTGCTATGCAGGTCGTCTTCGTCACAGTGAATTTGGCGTCCGCCAAAGCTGCCATCACACTGACAGCGTCATCGTTGTTATGGATATTATCCTCCGTGCCTTCGTCAGCAACCTCCCTTCGAAGCACTGCGCTTTCGCGGGATTCCCACCTGGCAAGTGCGTGGCATTGCGGCGGCATGTAAATGTAGTTGCGAGGCATGGGGAATTGCGGGATCTGGCCAGGACCGCGGCGCTGAGCTTCATACCTTCGTCCTGAGTGCGTGTGACCAGATGGCCCCAAGGTTCCCCTCCTTCTTGGCCAATGTTCACGTCTGTCGAAAAGCATGCTGTGTCTCCGCGCCAAAGCCCGAAGCTGCATGTTTATGCCTATCCCTGCACATGTTTGGTTATGGTCGACTCTGCGTGCTGTGTCTGCGCGATTCTTACTATGATTGCTAGTCCGTCTGCCAGTGCTCGATCCCGGGCCATATAAGGAGGACGACGGTGACGTTGCCGAAAGCGACGACGACGACGCTGACACTGATGCTGATGACGACGATGGGCTGGGGAGGGCATCTTCGCCATGGAGATGGTGATCAGCGAGTCCGCGCCCGCTCACGGCCAGGCCGTGTGGTGACCCCGCAGCGTGACCAAGGCGAGGTCACGGGCACAACACAGGGGAGACGTAGACGAGGCGGCGGAGGGGAGAGAGTACAGTCGGCACGCTGAAA